TCATTACTGGTGATTGGAATGCAAAAGTAGGGAGCAAAGAGGAGGTTCCAGTAGTTGGAAAATTTGGACTTGGTGATAGAAATGATGCTGGAGAATGAATGATAGATTTCTTCAAGACGAATGTTGTGTTTATTTCAAATACCTTCTTTACTTTAGACAGCATAACAGACGGCTATACACATCGAACTTGCCAGATGGAACACATAGAAATCTGGAAGGTAGACAACATTTGCCCACTGGAAAACTTAAAGAAAAATTCCTTCAGAAAGTTTTAATGCACAGGCATTCTAATTTATGCATCACTCACACATTTTGTTGTTGTTAAAAAAGAATATTACCTATGTCTCTTCAGGAATTACCAAGAATATGTTGGCAGCTAAGAGGGAGAGACTCAAACTCAAACCAACCCAAGATATTCAAGCATCTTTTGTGAGAACTCTTAAGCCAGTCTATTTTATTTAAAGTATTATGAAAGTACTATTGTGTCACTATAAGTTAAGCAATGTAGTACTAAGCACAAGGTTGGGTGTTCAAGACCACCAGATTCTCCTTGGAAGCCCCGTACGGGGTAGCTATTACTCAGCACCGTCTTAGTAGCACTTAACAGTGATAACAACAACAATTTCCACTGAAATTCAACGTACGGATGTGGCACTGTAGGATCAGCACTGGACTGTGAACCACAAAGTTGGCATTTCAAACTCACCAGGTACTCCTCGGACACTGTACAAGGTTGCTATGAGTCAGAACTGACTCAACAGTACTTAACAACAACTATTAAGAATTTGGGAGTCCTCGTGTGGTGCTATATAATAAGCACTGGACTGATAACTGCAAGGTTGATGGTTCAACCCACTGGTCACTCCTTGGAAAACCTATAGAGGGTTTCTATAAATTGTAACTGACTCAAAGGCAGTTAACAACAACAAAATTAAGAACAGAGATCTGTAGCTAGATTTCTGCTCACAAACCTCCTAGATAGATTCATTAAAGTAAACTTGTGAGCATAGACCAACTAGTTCACCTAACAATA